AACTTCTTTGTTTGGTCATGACATTTGCTTGAAAGGCCGGCTAGATACCTTTTCAACATTCTCGGTATTCAAGATACATAATTCCGTTAGCCTTTGGGTTGAAATAACGAAGAAACCAAATAGCACTGGGCGTCCATCTTTGTGCCTCGCGCGAAAACAGAGCAGCAACTCTGAAACCGGATGTGATGTCATAAATCAGTGGATCATAGGTACACGAAATTTCGCTAAGTCGTGGGCCCCCCCCTGGTTTGTTCTAACAAAATTAAGTCGGGGAGATTCAACGAGATTTTGTGGGCGTTTTTAATAAAACAATTATTCCACTCGCGCTTGTTGGATATGAGATGATTATAGCCAACTCATATCCAACGCGCCCTCGTGGGATAATTGTTAAATAGAGAATTACAACCACCATTACAGCAGTCCCTTTAATTGTCTTTAATTTCTTGGTTAGGTGATTAAACTAACTGATCGAGGATAGTAATTAACATTATATTTTACCTTAGAAATATTTTTGTCGTTGCCAAGGTAAAATAGAGAGTTGAATTGATTATCGGCTCATCACTTTCAACCTTAAACATAAACATTTAGTTTCAGAACTGAGTCGAGTACCATACTTCCTTAAAATGATTTGCACACGAATGATAAATCATTCAAAGGCCTCTTTCAGTGATATAATAAAATGATATTGACAAAAATACTTTTTAAAAGAATGGTGGTTGAAAAAAAGAAGACAGTTATATATTGATATCTTATCATAGGGAAAAGAAAGAGAAGAATAGCAAGATTCAGCCCGATTTGATTGGATTTTTAAATACTGGCGCGCCAGCCTGTCAATTAAACGTGAGGTCGCAGAGGTCCTGGGCAGAGTTGTTCAAAGGTGGGTTAAGATAATCTAGAGTTAGTGCGAGATTTGAATTCAGATTTGAAAGCTTAAAAAGCATTTCAGTTTTAATTGTTTTTGTCTACAGGTTGATGATTGGAAGCTCTAAAAATAACAGAGAAAATTATCCAAGAAAATGCTTTTGAGCACAAGAAAAAGGTTTAGCGCTAATCGGCCTTCGAACAACTGGGCCCTAATCAACACCCAAGGTCCTGATGAGATTGTGCCGGCTTTTGATCTAACATCTACAAATGGTTAGAAACCCCTAGTCTTTTCGGATATGCACGTACGAAAACCGTAATTCATGTCCTAAGCCAGAAGAGATTTGCAGATATATGTGTTGCTGCACTGATAGACTTCTCAAAAAGGAGATTTATCGAAGAATGAAAGTCTGCTAAAATAGAAAAAAAGGAGGGAGGGGGTCACGCGCGCGGTTGTCATTATCGTCTCGCGTTTCACTGTTGGTTATTTTCGTTGAGCCGACACGAACATCGTTTTTGCATCGTAGAACAACTTCCATTTCACTTTGCCCCGCAGCAGATTCAAGAACAGAACAGGTAAGTTTTTATCTCTCATTTAATTCCCATTTGCAGTTAACAAATAAGAGTGTGTGTTCCCTATGTATTAATTACATCAGTACACATTCGCAGCATATAGTAATTTTCTGCGGGTAAGTTTCCCAAAGATTTGGTTTTCCAATTTCCCTTAAGAACGTTTGTTCGACAGTAGAGTTTGTGCACAGGCCTCCCACGTTGCCTTCTCCACAAAATTGCTCTCCTCTACACACCATTACGTTAATAAACTGGGGTCTCTTGTCAGGTCCCAGATCAGTTTTCGCCGGGCAAAGGTCACAAAGTCCTCCTGTTTTACTTGTACAATTACCTGTAGAATTTGTATTGGGGAAGGACTGGCCAGCCCTGGCCCCGGCCCGGCCCATCGACCTGCCCGTCCAGTCGTTGTCGTCGCTTGACTCGTCCCTTCTTATTCTACTTCTATTAGTCTGCACAGGAACTTGAGCGGATTCCCGAGTAATGTTGTAGATTTTCATCCTTCTCAACATCGTGTGGTAGGACACCAGGTTGGGAAATTTATCCGCTTCTGCTTTGGTAAAGGCCATGTAGGCAGAGTTGAAGTAGCCCAGTGGGCCTGGCTTCAATCCCAAAAGTTTAAGGCCTTTCGTTAACTCTTCGCCATTGCGTGGAACTTCCCACTTCCAAATCAAGCCGCCGAAAAGAACAGGTAGATTAGCAGCCAAGAAAAGTACTCGAATGGCCATCTACGGAAAGATAAGGAAAATGAAAAACATATTAAAGTCCCAGTACAATAGGGAGGCCACACTAATATCCGATTAAATCAGGAAAGATTTCATAAATTTGAATATCATGAAACCTGTGAACCCTCAGGTCTACGGCTAAAAGTCGCCGAATCTAACCGTTAGTAAATACAGTTGGCTCTCGATAACACGAACCCTCGCTAACTCGAATCTCGCGCTAACTCGAGTTCATTTTTGTTTCCCTTCAGATCATTTCTATATAATTCTACCCTCGATAACTCGAACCATGTTTTGAACGTGTTACAAGTCGAAAACAAACCGTGCATTGAAGTCCGAAACCAGCATTGAAAAAACAGACCACTAAGAAAAAAGAAACAATCAAAACAAGA